TCTACACAGCCAAGCTGTGAATGAACTCTAACGTGTGAGCACACTATGGGTGGGTATGCACACTTCTTTCGGTATACGCAAACCCAACATTCACTTCAGTCTACGCGTGACTGAATTTGTTGGTAGAAACAATAACAAAAGGGTTCAGCGGGTGGTCTGATTTTCACCAAACCCACCCAGACCTTTCGTATGATTAGGGTGGTTCATTAAGGGGGTTAGAGGTGCCAAATCTGCAGCTCTCTTCCTAGAAGTGTACCAGATTTCACTTCAATGTTCGAGCCTGAGAGGTAACGAGGGTCTGCGCTGAACGATGAGTGCTGGAGAAATCCAGTTCTCCAATGATTACTTCAAACTCGTATATGTAAGCAAATGCTGGCTTGACTATACACGGAGCCCGTATTCGGTGAAAAGTTCGGTCCTTCAAGGACTACGCCTCTCTTTTATCCGGTGCCAGAGTTTCTCGTGCTGTTGTAGTTGGAGCTTTTGAAGAGAAAAAAAGGAAAGGCGGAAGAGTTACTGGATAACGGATAGCTCCCACAAACCACTGGAGATAAGTTTAACCACGTGAGGTTATTGATAAATGCGAACACGTTATGTTCATTCACCACAACTATGAACAGAGACAAAGACCAACGACTCTGAAGCGAACATTGTGTTGTCATCGGATTTTGAGAAATTATCAGCTGAAGGAGGTCTGAATGTGTCTAGCAGTGAGTTGACAGTAAACTTTAACCGAAATTTCCATAGTTTTCAGAAAGGAATGATTTACTTAAGAGTGACAGCACCAACGTATGCGTGAGGCAAAAGGAAGTTTTTAGTTGAAATGAACCTCAAAATGACTGGTTTAAAGCAGAGGTGTGTAAGAATGTTCCGTATCTCAGTATCTGAGGAAAAGCAACGGCTTTTCCCTTGCAAATGCTTTGTTCCACTGTACAGAAGTAACCGAAATCTAAGTTACTTTGACTAACGCTCAAGGCAGTGGAATACGATGGACAGAAAAATTCTATCTTCCGGTGCCGAAGTGCCATGCCACCAGAAGCAAGTATGAGGGCTGGGATACTGACAGACTGCTTAAGCCTAGACAAGAGAAGTCAAGAGGCAGAGATCGGGTTCAAACCACGGACCTTCCGACCAGTAAATTAGCGCTAACCACTGAGCCATTTCGCCCCTACGATGGATAGATTGCACAGTAATACTGATACGAAGTGCTTAAGCCATATGATTACTAGAATCTTCAAGGGCAGGACAGCAACTGAAGATGAAATGGGTTAAGCACAAGATACCCTTTGAGGAGGGAACCCAAGGATGTGACGGAGAATCATTGAAATAAGCTATAATTCAAGGAGCAGTGTCCACTAGGAAGAACATCAGACAAATCTCTAATGGACCGAGAAATGTTGACACGTTTCGAGAGGAAATCTCCTTAGAGTGGGGGAGCTGCATTGAAAATACTCGTGTCCTAGATATTGTTATCATTTGGTGGATTCGGTTAGCTTGGAAAACAATTTTATACACTACGCTCGTTAGATGCGTTGCGGGTGAATTCTCCATCCAACAAACTCACTTTTGCTAATCGCATTTTCCTGTTTTCTGTAGCCAACTGCCTATGGACTTTCTCATTTTCCTTCACGGAAACGATGAAATCATCCAGCTTTGGCACGTTGAACCAGGCTATCAGACTTTTCAGTCGACGAATTCGCCAGTTATCGAGCTGCGAATTCTAAATTGGAAGAACGCAAAGGTGGTTAAGAAAGGATTTAATTGTGGAAACATCAGTTATTGATCTGCGTGAATCATGGAAATATCCTGGACTATTCGCCGTTAAGACACGGTTAAGGGAAATCTGGTGGAACAATGGGTAGAACAGTGTGAAGCAATCCACTGATAGCATAGACTGAGTGATGGCAGTCGCCATCTGTGTTCTGAGCAGACTAAAACTGTTCGCCTGGACTAACAACGGAGATTTTGCCTTGTGAATCTAATCTATGTGAGTAGCCGGGAAGCACTGCAGAATTGTTTCATCCTTGTTGGGAATCTTCAGAAAGGTGTACTATTCACGAAGTGGTCATACAGGATTCTCGGCTTTCCAGCTTAGGTTAACTTCATTTACGCGAGGAAGTTGCCAAATTGCCAAAGCCCCTCATGCTGTCAATAAGTTATAAGTAGCCCAGAAGAAGGAATAATCCAGGACCTGCTTCCATCTGAGAAATCGTCGCACGGAGAAGCACTACACACGTGACGTAACTTCTGTGACCAGAGTATGAGTGGCGCTATGTCCCGCACTAGTACCGCTTCATCGCACTGCTGACAAGCCGTTCATGACCGAACACTCTAGTCTTCAACCATCGGACGGGGGGTCACGGGTGGCAGCTACCCTAAATGTTCGTGAGATGCGCACGAATAAAGATTTGCAATAAGGATTGGACAGCTGTACACTGTTTCTAGGCTTTTCAGCAAACACTGGCTCCATTTATGGTACAGAGCGTCCGTTTTAGATTCTCAATCGTACTCACAACACCAAGAACTTCAAGCTATGAGGTGGAAGAATCAAAGAAAATGCTTTTCGTTTGTTGCCTGCATATTATTTTGGTGAAGATCGTTTGAGAAACTGGAGAACGGCTATGATGTATTTGCTTGGAATGAAGTAGTTCGAAGTAAGACAAAAGCCTCGTCTTTCGAAGCCGAGAAACAAAAAACATAGTAAGAAATTAACCTTGATCTTGCGGCTATCTTGGATATGGCGAGAAAGAATGCGGACCAAAACGGAATGTCAGATAGGCAAAGTCATCTCGAACTGCTCCAAACAACTGAGGAAATTCCACTTAGACGAGTTTTATATAACACAATGGCATATCTTTTCTATCCTAATGAATAATTTAGAGCGCGCGTAAACTTCGCGAAATGACCGGTAGTGTAGGGCTGCTTGTTACAGGAGACAGCATCGGGTAGTGATCGATGAAATGACCTGTGACGTGAAGGAGTTTGACTGGGTTAAGCTTAACGTAAGAAACCGTTCGTCACGTACATGATGACGGGATAACGACGGTGTGGTTGGCTCTAGCTCGGTCAGGTAGCTCCACATTGTAATTGCTCAATCACGGTACGGTGCAAAGTTATTTGTGACTGGCCACATCGGACTGAAGAACACAACAAACAAACTTCCTATAGTTTCCTTCATTTTGATTAAGAGGAAGTTACAGCTGAGCGGCTATTATCATTATCATTATTTTTGTTAGTAGTGGTGGTGGTAGCAGTAGTAGTAGTAAACCACATCCAAATATTCGCTGCAAAAGTGCGATGGAGCTGCGTGACGTTGCATGGAGAAAAAAGTCGCGGCTGACTTCACACATCAAGCATCGTGTACTAGTTCTTCCTCCACGCTAGCCTTTGGGAAGATCTGGATTTGCGGGGTAATCGAAGGTGGTCTGGTCTGCACCCCAAGCGATTGTCAACTTTAACCAAACAGTAATCGCTCCACGTTTCTGATGTACACAGATGCATACTGCATCTGATAAACCAAGGTTTGCGATGACGCTGGACAAAAAATTTGACCAGATTTCACGGTGTGACTATCGTTGGCTGACATGACACAGCCGCTGAAAGGCATCAGTCTGTCGCTTCCACGACCGACAGGTGCTCTGCGAACACTTAGGGCTCATTTAAGTCAAGCATGTCAGAATAATATTTCTGCATGAAAAATACGGAAATGCCCATGAGACAGTGCGTCGTTGCAGCCGGAAACGACTCCAGTCGACAGCATCATTAACAGACATCAGTCTAATTGGCAAGTTCAGCGGAGCCAGAAGTGTGATAGGAGAGCTGCAAATACAGAAGCTGATGTCGGATCTTATTTGTTACGCTGAATCAAGAGACACCCAGAGAAAAGTGTAAAGCAGTTGCAGCATTACCATGCAACTCATTCTTACTCACTACGCCCTATTAGATATTCGTTGACTCATAAATATATTTCCATCGAAGACGGAGATTGTGCACATCGGGAGGTTGACTACTACGGTTGGAGGCTACTGCGATATGCACACATTTCCACCTTACCTATATTCGATGTCACAAGCCGTAGGAAGTGCTGAAAACAAACACAATCTGTGCACACTGCATTTTACCAGGCTCAATTTCGAAAGATTATTTACCATCTCGTTGAGCGACTGTCTTCAAGAAAACCAACAGGAACAACAGAATCGTACAAATAAACTGAGCAATGAGGAAGCTAGAAAAATGGATTATGTAGAAACAATTTAAAGCGAGAAGCATTGAGTCAACAAGCGAGATTCTATCATCAACACATAAAGAACCTAGACAAACTAGTCTAAAAACTGTAGTGACAAACATCATACCTACAAAATGGACGGCTAACGGAAACTCCAGCTAGTTATACTAGTAGTACTAGTTAGTAGCTAGTTAGTGTACTGAACTATCGTTTTAAAACCATCCGTCTATGTTTCCGAGTGATATAGAAACCAAACTCTATGATTACCTTCTCATTTGTACACCTTTCAAAGCGCCTACGGTAGCGAGAAAGTTGGAAGAATCGAATGACGCTCATTTGCTTGAATTTCTGAGGACGCCTCAAAGACTCCAACGTTATTGCTCGCCACTTGATGGATTGCAAAGAATGTAAACAGTCAAGAAAGTTTTTTGGGGGAATTTCGTCCTGTAAGTGAAGCCAATCTATGCTGAAAAACGGAGAATTACTGTACAGCTGTTTCATCCTTGTTGGGAATTATCAGCTGTGCGCATCTCACGAAACTCCGGATAGTCTCGAACCCGCGACCTCCTGCCTAGTAGTTTGAACGCTTAACCTTCTGGCCACGAGTGGTTGATCAGCAGTCTGATTACCTCGAACTTAGACAGGATGTATATACAATCAAGAAAGTTGTTCAAAATCATAGACAGTGAGGACAATAGACACTTAATAAGCTTTGCCGGAGTGTCGGTTATTCGAAGCTACAGACCCATATTGAGCAAACAACTGGAATTTATGACTGGACTCATCTTAATTTGGCTAGGCGGACGTCGAATCACGTCTACCTTACCGGTAGTTTCATTCAGATTCGCCTCAATTCTCACGAACTGTTATCGCTGTAACAATTTCACTGGTCTATACTTGTCTGTCAAGGTATGTGTCCATTAACTCGACCTATACCAGCTTTTGAACGTTCACAAGTGTTTGTTGAGATGAGCGAAATTGCCGAATTCAACCTACCTTGTTTTGATACTTCTTTTCGCTATCATAGAGTAAGTCACTTGTTGTGATAAAAACAGGTCAGAAACCACTACTGCCAAAAAACTCACATCTTGATAGCCGTCGATACGAGCAATCAATTTGTTACTCGTTCTAACTCTACGGTTTGCCCGAGCCGAAACTTCTGCCGATGCATTAACGACTTCTTTTAGCTTACACTGGAACATGAAAATAAGTCGTTGACGAGGATGAGACAGAAATGATAAAATGAGATGAACACTGCATAAACTACTGATGCTGGTGATTAGATCCAGTGGACTCCAGTTTCAGATACAAAGTTGTCCGTTGAAAATACCGCCTGAAAAAACGTCACATCCAAAGTACTGACTCTTCGGATCTCTTAAAGACTATAATATGGTCGTTGGTTTGCTCGCTGAGCTGGGCAATTTTATTGCGAACGTTTTATCATCAGTCGAGGTGAAATCAGCAGTGCGTTGCTGAGGAGCGTGGTAGTTTTATTTGTTGCCCATTCAGACGCCACTCCGTATTTCCAAAGCAAGCACCAATCAAATGCCTAAAATATTTAAAGGAGTGACCTGAAAAACATATAACAACCCTGTGATTAAGTTAAAGAGGATAAGGAATAATGTTTACACCTTTGAAGGCTACACCATGCGCGGGCTAGCAAATGAGCCCCAGTAATTGTGAAAGGATCATGGAGTACCGATCGGATAAACCGCAGGCGTAATGCACGAACAGTTTGGAAAACGAGAAGAGTAAACAAGAAGTGACAGCAAAAGGAACCACGACACCATTCGTTTCTTAACCAACAAAAGCATCACCAAAAGTGGAGTGATCGTACGTCGCAGATTATCCGGAAAATGAACGAAGCGGTTGAAAAATATCTTCTCATGTTCACTTTCTAAATCCATCGGGAGCCAAAAAATGTCAGCCGTATTAATCTCGTACTTGTCGTACAGTAGATGTAGCTGCCACAGTTTCGTTCACCGATGATTCGGGGAGGCGGGGTGGGCAGCTGCACATTGGAAGCGGGAGCTCATAAATTAGTGCGTAAGTACAGCACGGTCAGTGGACTGTTTAGTGGGGGAGTTGGGAAAGGAGCTCTGCATTGAAAGCAATAGCTGGGATGCATGAGCGCCGTTAAGGGCGAGATTGGGCCATCTCTGACGGTGTCCCTAGCCATCTATGTAGCCCGTCTTGTGGTCCCCAACGAGCAAGACGGCAATGACCAGCGCAGCTGAGTTTGCTGGTAATGGCAAAAAGAAAAGAAACGAATGGGTGAGGGAGGGGACATGATGCTGGTCTTTCGCAAGCATTCTGAGTAGTCTACATTGCCAAGCGTTCAAGCAGACAGTCTGGAAAGAAACTGACAGCAGAAACGTCAAAGACAGCCACCGATCAGCCACCATTTCAGACAAGCGCAGAAGGGGTCACGAGGACCATATTCTGGAAGAAGAACAACATCAAAAACACCCAAACTAATCGTAATCTCTTGCAAACCGCTTCGCCAAGTCATACGCTGTCCACTTCGCCGTTCGCACTATTCTGATTGAGGCACAGAGAACAAATTCCACCTCTGTAGAAGATGTTTCGACATGAGTAGCACATGATCGACGCAGCGCAGTTGACAGTGCCGGATGCTGTTCGCGAGTCACGTACCTGCTATACAACCGAATATCCGTTCTCTAATTACCCCGTTGCGAATCTGTTGACACAATCTGATGGCCAGCTTGTGCAACAGAGATTGTACTTGGACGTCGTCTTCCAGATTGACAAGGTTCTCAACGACAAAAATTCGAATGCCGATCATTGGAGATATCCCAACGTTCATCTCATTCTTACATCAATGAAAACCGAACGAGAACGGAGAGAGCGGACATCCTTACAGGATACAGCTTTTTGTGGAGAAGCTTCTGGTAGGCACACCGTAAACTCACACGTCACAAGGAATATGAACATAGGGAACGGATTATGTTCACAAACTTCTGTGGCATATCCTGTTGAGCACTGACTGACCGACGGAAGCGAACACACCGTTGAAGTCAAAAAACCAAGATTCTGAGTTGCCTGTACATATGGTCTCGCTCTAACACCTGATGGAGTGTCAAAATGTGGACGACGTAACTGATAACCGGTCAAAATCCTGTGTGATTCTCACGGGTCGATAATTCTCGGGCTACCGTAAGACGCCCCAGAATCAGTGATACTGGAAGCGTTGTTACAACAAAAGTTAAACTTACACCTCTGTGTCTACTACATTCACTGCTACATTGATTTCACTCTTTGAAACTGGCTGAAGAATTCACCATCATCCTTGGACATGGCACGTGGTAGGTCGCCAGGATAAGTAGCACGAGTACGTTTGAGTAGTGATACACAATTGGATACTTCTGAGGCTGGAGGAGATTTCATGTCCACAGTTCACTTTCTGTTGAAGGCCGGCATACCGGATTCGAGGTTGCAGCTGTTCGATGTACTGCACTCACCGGTTCACAAATTCTCTTTTACTGGATATTAAGGGGCCATCCTGTTCCCAGGTATCACCCTCATCATTATCAGCTGTAAAAAGTGCATACTTGTCGTACAGTGTTTGTAGCTGCCACTTCGTCCAACGATAAACTGAGGTGGCGCAGGCATCTCCGCATTGTTGGCGCGAGCAGATAAACTGGTGCGTAAATAAAAGTCAGCCAGTGTGCCTCTTAGTTGGGGGATTCGGAAGGGAGGTATAAATTGAAGTCAATAGCTTAGATGCATAAGGGCCACTGAGAGTGCGACTGGGTCATTTCTAGCAATTTTCCAAACATTTACATGGGCTATCCTGGGGTCCCGGTCCATAGAGATGTCGATGACTAGCGAAGCTGAGTTTGCTCGTAATGGCTTTCGCATCTCGCTGACAAGTCATTGTTTAATCTCCCCTGGTCCGCTTCCACAATTCGCATGGCTCCGAAAAAAGAAAGAATAGGCCTACATGAAGGACATTATTAATGGGATAAGGCAGAGAAGGCGTGAGAGGCAGCAGTCTGCGTTCGCTTACCTGCCCTGCATTGTGCAACAAAGTGACCCGGGTGATAATAAGAGGCGACGACCGATGTAACGTAAAATGATTTCTGATGGTTGAAATCATGATTGTGCGTTGGCTGGGGCACCTTCATTGCATCCAACCGCAGACGAAAGGACAATTAGGGTTACCAACCAGAGCCTTTGGTTGAAGAGCCCGACCACATGATAGAGGTTTGGTGAGAATCGCCAGTGCAGTACCTCATTTTATGGAACGTATCACTACACACGTTTTAACGCGTGACGTGGGAATCAGTGCTGATTAAAACTCTAAAAATGGCCAACCTTTTACGAAAGACTCCGATGGCTGCGCAGATATTGTCAACCGTAGATTAATGGATCACACAGCCGTAAAGAAAGTCACATCAAGTTAAGGCATTGTATATCAGGGATGTTTAATACTTGTCTATCGTCCATGACTGACTAGTTTCCCACGGATTTCGCAAAAATTTACTCGGTTATAAGTCACATCCCAGTGACGATTTACATCCTTTTAGCGGTGTTTTAGTAGCATAAACTGATCTGAAATTTTATTGTTGCATGTAACTGCAGTCATTCTCACCTAGACTGTAAAAAACAAGCCATCATTGACGGCACAAAATCAGTGTTCAACACTGATGTTCCGCCGCCTTACAACCGTGATTTATCTGAAAGCCTCATTATGAAGAAAAGAATAAAGATGGACGGGAAAAGGAACTTAATGCGAGCTTACTACAATCACACCGAAGTGCCTACACCTCAAGACACTCATTCAGGCAATCTGGATAGAAATTGATATCAACAGTGCCACTGGTATCGGTTGGCAGCCATATCCCGCAGCGTTTCCAGCCAGGTGCAGTGGGGAACATGCGATCCCCATCCTGGAAGGCGAGTAGCACCAACAGCACCCAAACGTTTCGTAATCTCTTTCATACCATCCGACAGCTCAAGGGTTGACCATGTCTTTGTTTCCGTCACTCTGAGTTGGGCACAGAAAACAGCGCACTTTTTGACGAACGACAGTTCGGCATGCGCAATTTATGACCTAACCAACGCAGTTTCTGGTGCTGAACGTGTTCTCTAGTGGAAGCTCCACTGGAAACCCACTTTCTAGTTGTCCCACTACACTAACCCACACAAGCTATGGTGTTGATACAACGATTGTCGAACACCTGAAGACGTCTCAGTTCCGCTGCTCGAATATACCAAGCCTCATAGTCATAAAACAAAACAGCTCGTACTGTAGCCTGATAGGCACATCCTTTAAGATTCAGCGATATACCACCTTGATGTCATAGGTTATCAAATTAGCCAACACGACCCCAGCTTTGCGGATTTATGCATTGACTTCAACTGCCACACTTCCAAGACACGCAAGACGCTCCACAACTTCGAAGGCCTCTTCTTGGATTGTGAGTGGCGTGTTCAGTGACTGCATCTCCGGAAAGATGACCTCACACTTTGTGGGTGCAAAGTGCCACTCCGAACGGGCATGGAAAACAGTACTCTCTTCGGCAAACGATGGTTCGGCATGCGTAAAACATGTCCCAACCAACGCAGCTTCTGGTTGCGGACACATTCTTCAATGGAAGTCCCCGTTACACAACCGAAAACACGCTTTCTAACTGCCTCGTTACGGATTCGCTGACACCAACCCACACGAGCTATGGTTCTCAGACAACGATTGTCGAAC